GACTAAAAGCTTTAGGAATCCAAACCATAACATAAGTACCCTGTATCAAGATTGATGCAAAACAAGTGACATTTGACCTTTTTAGAGAGGTTTAGCAAAAAACCCACTTCTGGGGTCATTTGGATGCATTTTCCATATCTATGGCCCCCATCGGTCGATGTTGATGATTTACACCTCTTTTTAACCGTTAGAGCCGATAGAATCGAGGGGAAGTTCCTAAAATCCATCTAAACATTACCATTGGTGAATGAGTGATGCATAGCCAGAATCCCCAAAACTGGAAGCTGTCATACACTCTGGTAGCAACTATGTATGAAAACTCCGTTATTGACCTTCAGCAGCGTTTTTATCGTTTTTATGCCATTGAACACAACTTTTGATCAAAACAACAGCATAGGTAAGACAATGTCCCATTTTTGCTCCGTAAATCTCCGTGTTGTGATGTCTGTTTTCGCCTCCCCTGTCGCGAGTTCAGATCGCTCAGTGATGATACTTATACCCCTAGAATATGTGCAATCTCAGCTTGCTAATCGATATCTTGTTTGTGCATATGTAATAAGGGTATTTATACCTAGAGCTCTGTGCTAAGTGTGTTAGCATTTTTTCGCTCAGGACTCATTTAGACGCTTCTTGTGAGACTTGTGTTTTGTTTCGATAAAAATGGTTCGTATTGTCAGTTAGCTGAGTTTCTTCCCGTTAAATGGGTATGACAAATTCATAGGTTTTTAAATGTTAAGAAGCCCTGAGACACAGTTTCGTGAAGAAAAAAAACAGGCTCTCGGGCTAAACAGGTTAAGGGGGATAATTGTGAATATATTCTCCATTTCTTTATTAATACCAATTGAATGAGTCCCAGAGGTGAATTTGAATTATTCACTTTGGTGTTATTTACAATTACAAACATAAGCTCAAAATACCCACATAGGACCTATGTAGACATGCACTAATGGACAATGCTCTGGCTTCCAGTGAACAATACGTATTTTTTCAAATTGTGATTCGAACCGGCAACCCTTTGGTTCCCAAACCAAGTCCCTAAAGGTTAAGCTACTGCCAAGCATTGACTTTTGAGAGCAGGTTGAGATTGTTGCAGGAATGAGTCCTAATACCCGGAAATTAGTTAGCATTTTACTTCATCCTGTTCCCTCATCTTGAAGTCAGCAGATTTTTGAACGTCTTTGTTGTTAGAAGCCTGAAATAAGATCTGTGGTTAACACAAGCTGAAGAGCTGTTCATGTTATGTTCTACGATACACATAATACGTCAGGAAATACCCCACTGGTGAATTTAAAAACAGAAGTTGCTAACAATTTCCAAAATAAACGTCTAAAGGTCCTCACACAGGACATTAGCCTTCTTTAGCTTAGCGGTGGTGATTCGGAGCCATGCATCTGTAATGTAGGTAGTTATAGCCTCACAAGAACTTTTTACTTCTAGTGATTGCCTTGATTCTGCAAAAATCCAGCTGAACCAAAAATGTAAGTATCATCAATCTATGTTGGCTACAAAGCTTATTATCTGCAATATAACAAAATCCAATAGATAAACCTTGTTATAATTTTGTCGAGGGTGCCCTTGCGATGCTAACTGATGACCTGTACAAAAATATGTCCACTCTATTGATATGGATGTTAATGCTGAGCTACATGCTAACAGATATACTTAAACAAAGACAGAAAAGTGTATTACTGCAGTCTGCCTTTACTTACAGTTTATGAATGGTATAGTCTACAAAATATATACCTTCATTTATGTTTCCTTTTAGTTCTGTTTCTAATAATCTGCTTTATGTTAATTGTGCTATATACAAGCCTATAATGATTGCACATTTCTCTTTCCTACAACGTTACAGAGACTCGCTTAAATCTAATTTGAGCGGTGTTTATTACGCCTGGAATTTCCCCCGTTAAACAATCCCCCTGTGTTAAATCTGGATAGTCTGGAAGAAGTAAATTTAAGATCCCTTTCACTTTCTATTGTCTTTTTTACTGGATGTAATTTAATATACAGAAGAAAGAAAAAATCTAACACATGGACAAAAGGGTAAAAACAGTGAGCTAGTACTTAAAGTTATAGTAGTACTCACAACTTAATTAAAGGCACAACACTCAGAATATTTAATACTAAATCATACTTATATTATAGCAGCAGACTTACCAACTCCATTATGTTCACTCAGGAGAACATAAATAACCTGTGCTGCATTTATGATAGACACTAAAAAATGCAACACTTAAAATCCTCTCTAAAGCTTTTGACCTACATGTACTGTATTACAGCTATTGTTATGAGGGTTAATTATTATATACTAATTGAGCTACAGCAAATGTTGTACTAAATGAGCTCAAGTGTTGTTAGGAATGTGCTCTGACTCAGAGTATCAGGATAAACATGGTGCTGCTTTTCAAGGCTGTAGCTAGGAGAGCCGGTCCATCACTAAATGTTGGTGTTAAAACAGGCACATAATGTTCATTTCAGGCTCATATTAGTATTTAGTAGTGTCTCGACTGGGACATGTCTCCATGCTTTAATTTTCAAAAAGCTCTTTATTTTTCTCATACTGCCTGTGCTGCAGCACCTCTTTTCACCCTCTGTCTAAAACCAGAGCCCAGACTGCTCTGATCGGTTAGCTGGCCGGCTCTGATGTGATTGGTCAACAGCTTAGATATGTCCCGCCCCTTAGCCTGCAGGTAGAAGGTATTGGAGCGCCAGAAGAGCGTGTGTTATAGTGATGTCATTATGTTATGGAGTAAAACATTGAAGGCGTTTCAGGCAGGGGGAAACTCCATCTGGGGGGAACACAGGGATTTTAACCTTTGCAGACCATTTACATGAACAAAAACCTGTAGAACAAACTACAGGAAAGAGAAAAAATGACAAAGCATGAAGGGGTCTTGAAGGTCACCTATCATGCTATTTTTTGGCAATAGAATAGGTCTTGTAAGAAATAAAAATCAATATGTACCTTTTCTTTGAAAAGCTTTATTTTGAAGGACGACCTTGTCGTTTACATGACGCCACTTCCGGTGTTACATGACGTCACTTTTGGTTACACGTAAACTATGGCCCAATCCCAAACCACTCCCTCGACCCTACCCCTCTGTGACGGAGTGAACTCCGTCTGTAGCCACACTCGCAGCTCGCAGCTCCCTCCTGTCAGATGGAGGGAGTCGGCCTCCCCCTCCGCGGCAGAAACAGGAAATGCTGTAGCCTATGTAACAACGGTTTCAAATCAGAATCTCTTAGACAAAAAATGTAAATTAATTACTCAAATAAAACTCCAAACATATTTGATTGTGTTACTTTTTTGTAAATCTCTTTTAGTTTTAAATAAAATATATATGGCCCGGGGCCATCTAGTATTTAGCTCGGGCAATGAAGCCTCACCTGCTGGTGGCCCGATCGGGCAATCTATTATGCCAGTATCATGCAGCTCACGGATCCAGTAATGAGTAACCCGACAGTAAAACTAAACATATCTATAACTAGTTACGGTAGTTTGAGAGGTAATTAAAATAGCTACGTGTGATATTCTAACCTGAAGTGTGTGTTTTGTCCGCTCACCGCAGCATGTGATCATGCAGCGCTGCGTGTCGACTCGTCAGCAGCAGCTGATCTCTCTGTCCCGTCAGATTAGACTTCACTCGCGTTTATGTCCATATCGATCAGATCCAGCTAGTTCTAGCTAATAATATGACTACCTGCTTATTAAAAGACACCTAAACAATAAGTGTCGCTATGCAACTGGGTGAGGCAACAAAGTATAGCGCAGCATTATGCATTTGTTTACATGCCCACCGGAACCCCGAGGCATTCAACCCATACAGGACATCTCTTTCTCCACATTAAGTGTTAGACATTAGAATTGACTATTATTGTCTGTCACATACTCTTCTTGTCTGTCACATAAGTGGCGCAACTGAAGCGGTATTGCGCGAAAGGGAAATTATTTTGACCAAAGAGATTTAGATTTGCCGGCTAACAGGAACTCTGACGTCGCCATTTTGTGTGCTTCGCGGATGCGCTCGGCTCCTCTCGACTGCTGCTCGGGTCTGCTCGGTCAGCTTCCGGATGAGGAGGCATTCGTTCGACCAACTTACAGTAGATAACATTACAAACATATTTAACAGGGGCCATAATAGTGTAAATAATGTTTGTTTTGGCAGTTACAACTGAATGTAATGTGTTCTACGTTTTTACATCTGGGAAGGCATTTGCCTTCATCAGATGGAAAGTGTCTTGACCAACAACTTAAGTATTTCTTATAGCTATGCAGGGCATGCAAGCGAGCAAACACAAACAAAAACAAACAAGTGAAATTAAGAATAAAATTGAAAGTGTACAATTCAGTCTAGAGAATGCACCAGACAGCATCTACAGTAAGACCTGCAAAAATCTTTTATTTTCTCGGGGGAGGCCCCCCAAACCCTTCGTGCCATTTCGTCCGCGCGCATTTTTCAGGGCAATCTCTATTGGGCTCAGGGCCATCTGTAAATTAGCTTAGATGGCCCACAGGGCAAAATCCTTAATGTCACGCACTGCACTACCCCTGCAGAATGCATACTTCTTGTTTCCCTAATGCACTACAACATCACTGTGTCTCTCAGG